TCATATCAAATCTTGTGTGTCCATCTTTCAGTTCCTTGTGTGTTAATGGTATTACTTTTACTATGTGCCATTAAATGCAAGTTCCCTTTTAAAACAACTATATTATGCCCACCATCATAAACATCTTTCTGCAGCCATCAGTATTTTCTGATCACCCGTGTTAGGCTTTTATAGTTCTATCGGGGCATTTTATGCACTGCTGCCCACCAAAATTCAATTTAAATCTCCTTGATCAGGGCAGTGGCACTTTACAACATTGAGCTGACACCCCTGGCCCATTGTTATGGAATCTTTATCCATGACTTCTCAATCCAAATCCTATCCTTAAAATATTAATTTCACTGTGAATTGTGTATTTCCCATGTCCTTCTTTCTCAACCAATGGTCTAGACCTTCAGGAAAACAATTGAAAATATTAAAACTTGTGGCCCACGGTACTTCTTTTGATTTTCCTGGTCAAGGCTTTATTATTATTATAGACTGATCCCAGATTTCTTCTGATTCCATCCTTCATTCCCACCTATGTGCCGCAGGTGGGAAGCAGTCATAGAATAGAAGTGAGAGTTTGGGGAAGATTCTGATCATTCCTTAGAGGTATGCTCAGGAATAGTCCATCTGGAGTAGAACAACAGAGAAGACATGATTTATAGCTAAAAAGAAGTGAGTCTTCAACCAGATCATTCTGGCACGCCCAACTGACAGCGTGCAAGCTGTGCATTAAGTCAAGAACCATACCAATGTAATTTTTTAATTAGGAAAAATCCAGGGCGATCTTACTCTATGAGGGTAAGGCAAAAAGTATTGCTACAAAAACATAGAATCTTTATTTTTTTAAAAAACATCAAAATATGAATCCATCATTTTGCACACACACACACACACACACACATCTATGTCTACATACTCCTGAAAGCAGTGTTCTCTAACTCTTCCCAGAAAAATTCTCTGCTCACTGATTTACATCCTGCCCCAATGGCAGTCTTCTTGTCCTGGAGGGACGCAAATTGGGTTCCTTTCCAATGTTCTATGAATTTGGGGGACGAAAGGAAGTCTCGAGGACAGCACCAGAGCTGTGGGGTAGGGGAGGTCAGGTTTTTCTAAGAAATCCTCATCGGACCGCCTTCACTCTCCTCAAATAGTGAGCAGGTGCATTGTAATGGTCGGACAATTCCCTGGTTCAACTTTCCTGACCTTTTTCTCACCAAAGCAGTTTCCCGATAAGTCCCTGAGACCAACCTGTATCCTTCAGGAAAATCTGTCAAGATGATCCCTTTGAGATATTTAAAACAAAAAAGCGGTCACCGTAGTCTTCTGAGGTGACCCCTCTGCCTTGCGTTCCACTGGCCCAGCAGATCCCCCTCCCCAAACCGCTGTTGTTACTGAACTCATCCCTGTGGTAAACTAACCAACCGCTGAAGATCCAAAGGGCAGAAATTGCCCAATGGCAGAGTCAGGACGGTTAGGGAAGGAGGAAGAACAGCAGTGGGAAACACGGGGAGAAACTGGAGTCAGCAAGTCCATCGATGAGATTACAGTGAGGGAAACACACCGTGTGGGAACTGTCGGCTGCAAAACTGATCATCTGCTCCACAAGCCTGCATCTAATTCACACGCCAAAAAGGTTTAAAGCAAAGCAAAAAAGCCACCGTTTTGATTGCACTTTTTCCAAGACACGAATGAATCCGACTAGGACAAGTGTATAGCTGAGCGGACGCACGGGTCACCGCTAATCACAGAGACATGTGGAAACACATCGACGTGGGGACTGGAACCTTGAGGGCACTACCTTTTCACGGACTCTTCGTACTTGATGCCACAGAGGCGATATGGTTCCAAAACACTCCTTGCAAGCAACTCGCAATAGCCAACAGGTCCTCCATAGGATACTAGGCTAAGGCCAAAGGCATTTTTGTGTGTGCCTCTCTATTGTCTGATTTTGACAGGAGCCCTAGTGGTACAGTGGTTAAGCGCTTGCTTGATAACCCTAAGTCAGCAGCTCAACCCGGTCCCACACTCCTCAGGAGAAAGGTGAGGCAGTCCACTGCCATCCAGTTTTACAGCCTTGGAACTTCTAAGGGGCAGCTCTACTTTGCCTGCATGGTCGTTATGCGTTGGAATCAACTAGACAGAAGTGGGTTATCAGATTTCACCTCAAGTTTCTTTAATAATATGAGAACAGTAACAGTGCCAATGTCTCAGAGGGTTGTTGTGAAGACAGATATGAAGCACATAGAGCAATGGTTAGCACGTCGCAAATGGACCATAAATTCAAGTTCCTATTATAACTGCGCTTTATCATTATTACCATTATCCCCTTAAATGTTTTCATCCTTTCTCTGGTCCTGAGAATTGGAATAGATGTTTCTTTTGTAGCAAAATACAACATGAAAGAAAGAAAGAAAGAAGGAGCTATTAGGACTTCACTCAAGTGAAATTCCAGTATTACACTTGCACCTATTTCCCAGGGATACATTGAGAAAATCTGTTGTCTCGTTTCTTGCTGCCCAGGGACATTGCTGCCAGAAACTGCCTTTTGACCTGTCCAGGTGCTGGGAGAGTGGCCAAGATTGGAGATTTTGGGATGGCCCGAGACATCTACAGGTGAGCAAAGCTCGCGCCGCCAACCTTCAAAGCCTGTCTCCTCAGCTGCATCCCTTGGGGAGAAGGACATGTAGCTTGCTAGTCATGTTCTGGTACTTGGTCGATTTTGCTCCTCAAAGCTCATTGCATTTCTTTTCAGACTGCGGGAACCTTTCATTAGTGTCCATGCCTGATAAGAGAACGGGCCTAATGAGAGACCCACACTGCATGCAATTATGGACAGCGAGTTCTTAATTGGGTGTCGTTCACATTCCTACGCGCTCATAGTCTTGTGCCATATTCTGCACCACAGAATCACTTGAGTACTTTCTTTGGAAAATAACTGCAAAGTGAGCTTTATTTAGCTTATGCAACCCTTTTCCTCAATGCTGAGGGAAATACTCAACCCCTATAGCTTTTACCCCCCAAGGCAAAAGCACCCCACAACAGACAAGACCCTGGGACGAGCTCCTGTGACCTCTTTGCCTTCATCTGGAGACTCGTTCAACGGTCCACAGGTGCCGTGCTCAGCTTCCCTTCCTGATTACATAGTCCCAAAGCTGAGTTTTTAAAAGACCAGAAATCATTCTAGTCTCTACTTTCTCTCTTGCTTCTCTTCCCAATCCCTGGGCGCTTCTTATACAATCATCCACCACATTGATTTGATGTACTGCTAGAGTCGGGCCAGTCCCTCTCCTCCATGACACTGATGGTACCTTCCCTACCCCACCACCTGTCCATCTCCGAGGGTGTGGGTGGCTCAGGTGCTGAGCTTCCACCCTAAGATGGACTAGGAAGAAAGGCTTCACAATGCACTTCCACAAACCAGTCTATCCAAGAAAGCCCTGTGGGTCACAATGATGTCATCATGAACAGTATCTTCTTCCCGTGGGGTTGCTGGGAGCCAGAGCCAACACTACAGCAGGCGACAGCAGTAACCCCAGTGGGGAGAATGGGTGCAGGTGGCTAGAGATAGCTTTGGAGAGTGAAAGAGATGGATCCAAACACCCCTGCAGTTCTACAGGGATGAGAGCGCTCACCTGGAGTCCCAGTGCATGGAGGATTATGACAGCACTGTTCTAACTTCCTGTCTCACAGACCTTCGGATCCACCCCCATTGCTTGGCTCCGCTCTGTTCTGCCTTCTTTTACCACCCACAGAGCTCAGCACTCCCTCCCCCTCTGAAGACTCCTGAGTTGGCCAACAGTTCTTAAACTGAATTTTTCAGCGAGTCCTGGGAAGCCCTGCTGATCTGATTCCTCCTTTCCACCTTCTTCTCTGACAACTCCCCAACTCTAGGCTTCAACTGCCCCAAATTACGTGCAGTGCGCCCTGTTCCCCCACATGCCCCGGGCAATTTTCTGTGTCCACCGTGTTCTTCTGGGAGAGCTTCCTCACTACTCGGCTCCTTCACTTCCCCTCCAGGAAGCTCTCCCTGGCCCTCCCTTCACCCTCCGTAGAATGAATCCATGATTCCACTGTGCCGCTGAACTTGGTATCTGGCTGCTACTTCACACTTTCTTCTACTAAATCTCCTTGCAAGGGAGGGTGGTGCTTAGGTGCCACCCAATCAGTTCTGACTGATAGAAACTTCACCCCCCTCTCACACACACACACCCTCCACCCCTAGCCCCCACCCCCGGCAAGACAGAATGAAGGAGGCACAGCTCAGGCCGCCGCCCCTCTCAAGGTCATTGCTGTGTCTGCGGCCAGCCCAGCCCATCTCACTCAGGGGATTTCTCTCTCCTCCTGACCTTCCACTTGACCCAGCCTGATGCTCCTCTCCAGGGACTTGTCCCTCCTGACAACATTCCCAAAGTCACGAGAAGAAGTCTTGCCACCCTCCCTTCAAAGTAGCACTCCGGCTGTCGTTCTTCCAAGACAGATTTGTGTGTGTTTTCGGCAGCCATTGGTAGTTTCAATATTCTTCCCCAACACCCTGATTTGAATGCGCTCACTCTTCCATGGTCTTCCTGCCCCACTGGCCAGCTTCCACAGGCATGCGAGACCACGGAAAAGACCATGGCTTAGACCAGGTGCCCCCTCAACCCCCGAGTGATACCTTTGCTCTTGTAACCCTTTAAAGAGGTCGACCAATTGCCCGACGCAATTGGTCATTTGATTTCTTGATTGCTGCTTCCATGAGGAAAGGAAAATTAAATCTCTGATGATAACGTCCCTCTTTTCTCCACATGTGGTGGTGTGGCTTGCTGGTCCAGGAGTGAGGATTTCTGTGTTCTTCGGGTATAATCCATAGGCTGTAGTCTTTCCCTTTCATCCGTAAGTGCCTCAGACCCTCTGCTTCTAGCAGGGAGTGGCATCCACGTGCCGCAGGCTGTTAATAAATCCTGCTCCCATCCTGATGCCGAGTACGTCTTCCAATAGTCCAGTTTCTCTGATGATTTGCACAGCATACGGAGGGAAGAAGGATGGAGAAAGGAGACAGCCTGGGCATGGGCCTTCTGACTTTAAGCCATGAAGTATTCCCTGGTCCTGTTCAAGGGGAAAGACTTTGACTTACTGATGTCCTCCGTATGAAAGAGTACCTTAAACATGCTGGAGCCTCAGTGCATGTATCCTGATGCAATGAACTAATTTAGACAGCTGGCTAGGGATGTTGCCTTCCATAACACATCCAAACTGGAAAACGCAGGGCAAGGCATGCAGTTGCCTTAAAGAGCATAGGAGCTCATTAGTTTTTATTAGCGATCTCATTCGTGTAACTCGTTATTTGTCCAATGCCTATGCTGCACAAGTGTGCCAGGAAGGATCCACAAAGAAATGAGACACAAGTTGTCTTGCGATTTGGATCTCCCATTCCTGCAGATCATCAGGACAGGCTGTACTTACAAAGGTGGAGCAGTGCTACGCCATAGTTGTTAGGATAAACAAAACCCAACAGGGGAATCGCACCTCTGCTAGGGACTACTTTACTCCTTGTACAGGTCTTTTTGCTCATGCCTCTGGCAGGCGATTTGTCTCCTATAACATGACCCCAAAGTTCTCACCTAGACGATCTGTGTTCCTGAGCTCCCCTCTGGAATTGCCAACAGGTGAGTGTTGATGAGCTAGTGACTGGGTAGATTCCTTGTTGCCGCCTTCCCTGCCCGAGCTGCCTGGCTGTGCGCCTGCTCAATGCCCATTGCTGAGTCACGTGTGGTTTTTCTCCCCTCCCCCACAGAGCGAGCTACTACAGAAAGGGCGGGTGTGCCATGCTGCCAGTTAAGTGGATGCCCCCAGAGGCCTTCATGGAAGGAATATTTACTTCTAAAACAGACACATGGTGAGTCTCGCAGCAACCCTCCCTGCCCTCGGTGTTGCCGTCAGCCTCAAGGTGGTGTTCTTCGGCCAGATAATGCCTCGCTCTTGACTGGGAGACACCCGGGGAAGGAGGAGAAAAAAGAAATTAACATATCCCTATGTGTTAGTCTGGGTACTTTAGAGAAACAAATCCACAGAAACTCATATGTATAAGAGGGAGTTTTAAATAAAGGGTAAGTGCACTTCCCAACCCAGTGCTGCCCAAGCCCACAAGTCCAACATTAACCCATTAACCCATATGTTCAACACCAATCCACAAAGTCCTCCTCCGTCTCACAAAACAGACGCAGTGATGCCCACTGCAGGAGGAAAGCCGAGTCAGTGAGTGTGTAAGCAGGGGCCTCCACACAGGTGCTCCAGCACCCAGGGCTGCATTGGGGTAGGTCCATGTGGCTGCCCCTTGAGGATGGCTTTCAGGAAGTGAGCCTTGCCAGCTGAGACAGGGAACTGGCTAAGGCAGCTGTGCCCTGGCCCAACCATCAGAGAGCAAGAGACCCAAGAACTCGAAAAGCGAGGCCCACTGAACCATTTTTTTTTAAATGATCATTTTATTAGGGGCTCATACAACTCATCACAATCTGTACATACGTCATCTGTGTCCAGCACTTTAGTACATATGTTGACTTCATCATTCTTACGACACCCACTTTCCACTTGAGCCCCTGGTGTCAGCTCATTTTCCCCCCTCCCTCTCCACTCCCCCCTCC